AAGCTTTTGCACAGCAAAGGAAACAGTTAACAAAACCAAAAGACAACTGACAGAATGGGAGAAGATATTTGCAAACGACATATCAGATAAAGGGCTAGTGTCCAGAATCTATAAAGAACTTAGCAAACTCAACACCCAAAGAACAAATAATCCAATCAAGAAATGGGCAGAAGACATAAACAGACATTTCTGCAAAGAAGACATCCAGATGGCCAACAGACACATGAAAAAGTGCTCCATATCACTCGGCATCAGGGAAATACAAATCAAAACCACAATGAGATACCACCTCACACCAGTCAGAATGGCTAAAATTAACAAGTCAGGAAATGACAGATGCTGGCAAGGATGCGGAGAAAGGGGAACCCTCCTACACTGTTGGTGGGAATGCAAGTTGGTGCAACCACTCTGGAAAACAGCATGGAGGTTCCTCAAAATGTTGAAAATAGAACTACCCTATGACCCAGCAATTGCACTGCTGGGTATTTACCCTAAAGATACAAACGTAGTGATCCGAAGGGGCACGTGCACCCGAATGTTTATCGCAGCAATGTCTACAATAGCCAAACTATGGAAAGAACCTAGATGTCCATCAACAGACGAATGGTTAAAGAAGATGTGGTATATATACACAATGGAATACTATGCAGCCATCAAAAGAAATGAAATCTTGCCATTTGCTACGACATGGATGGAACTAGAGGGTATCATGCTTAGCGAAATAAGTCAATCGGAGAAAGACAACTATCATATGATCTCCCTGATATGAGGGAGAGGAGATTCAACATGGAGGGTTAAGGGGGTAGGAGAAGAGTAAATGAAGCAAGATGGGATTGGGAGGGAGATAAACCATAAGTGACTCTTAATCTCACAAAACAAACTGAGGGTTGCTGGGGGGAGGGGGTTTCGGAGGGGGGGTGGGGTTATGGACATTGGGAAGAGCATGTGCTATGGTGAGTGCTGTGAAGTGTGTAAACCTGGCGATTCACAGACCTGTACCCCTGGGGAAAAAAATATATGTTTATAAAAAATAAAATAAAAAAACCAAAATTATTATATACAGTTTTCAAGAGAAAAAATATATACTAATTAATCTGAAAAAAAAGTACACTACCAACTATAATCACTCAAAAATAAAAAATAGGAGTAGGTCTTAAAAACCATAGGAATTGTATACTGAAAACAAAAAACAAAAAATGACTGATAAAAGATATCAGAGAAGATCTAAATAAATGGAAAGGTATTTTCTATTCATGGATTAGAAAAACATAGTGAAACCCTCAACTGTCCTCAAACTGATATGAAGATTAAATGTAGGGGAGCCTGGGTGGCTCAGTAGGTTAAGTCTCTACCTTCGGCTCAGGTCATGATCTCAGGGTCCTGGGATTGAGCCCCACGTCGGGCTCTCTGCTCAGTGGGGAGCCTGCTTTCCCCTCTCTCTCTGCCTGCCTCTCTGCCACTTGAGATCTCTGTCAAATAAATAAATAAAATCTTTAAAAAAAATAAAAAATAAAAGATTAAATGCAATTTCTGTCAAAATCTTCACAAGATGTTTTGTAGATGTAGGCAAGGTTAATCTAAACTTTATATGAAAAGACAAAGAAACTAGACTAACTAAAGCTATTTTTTGACAAAAAGAATAAAGCAGGAGGAATCACTCCACCAAATTTAAAGACTTATTAGTTAGCTACAGTTTGGTAACAGTGGGGAGACAGACACATGGATCAATGGAATAGGACAAAGACTCCAAAAGTAGCCTCACAAAAGTAGGGCCAACTGCTTTTTAATAGAAGTACCAGAGCAGTTCGATGGAAAAGAAATAGTCTTTTTGACTAAGGGCATGGGAGCAGTTGAACATCCACAGATAAAAATATGAAACTTGACCCTAAGCTTCACCCTATGCAAAAATTAACTCAAACTTCATCACAATTTTTTTTTTCAAATTTTATTTATTTACTTGGCAGAGCAAGAGAGAGAGAGCAAAAGCAGGGGGAGCGGCAGGCAGAAGGAGAAGCAGGTTCCCCACTGAGCAGGGAGCCCAATGTGGGACTCAATCCCAGGACCCTGGGATCACAACCTGAGCCAAAGGCAGACGCTTAACTGAGCCACCCAGGCGCCCCTCGTCATAAATGTACATGTAAAACCTGGGGTGCCTGCATGGCTCAGTCAGTTAAACATGTGACTCTGTTTTGACTCAGGTCATGATCTCAGGGTCCTGGAATCAAGACCTGCAATGGGGTTGGCTGGAGATTCTCTCCCTCCCCCTCTGTTCTCCCCCTCCTTGCTCTGTGTCTCTCTCTCTAAAATAAATAAAATCTTTCAAAATATATAAAACATAGAACTATAATGGTTTTAGATGAAAATAAGGGAGAAAATCTTCAGGATCTGAGGCTCGGTGTAAATGTCTTTAGACAGGCCAGCAAAGCTCCATCCACAAAAGAAAAAGATCCATGAATTGAACCTCATCCCAACTAAAAATTTTGCTCACACTTGGGAGAAAATTTTTACAAGCAACTTATCTAAGGACTCTAGAATAAAGAACTCTAAAAACTTGACTTAAGGGGCTCTGGGTGGCTTAGTCATTAAGCATCTGCCTTCAGCTCAGGTCATGATCCTAGGGTCCTGGAATCGAGTCCCACATCAGGCTCCCTGCTCAGCGGGAAGCATGCTTCTCCTTCTCCAGCTCCCCCTGCTTGTGTTCCTTCTCTCTGTCATAAATAAATAAAATCTTAAAAAAAAAAAAACTTGACTTAAAAAAAAACTATCCATTGAGAAAATGAACAAAACGTATGAAGAGCATTTTACTGAGGAGAATTTACAGCCAGCAAACAGCACATGACAGGACGCTGAGCATCACCAGCCACTGGGGAAATGCAGGCTCAGCCCGTGAAGAGACGTCACTCCGCACCCATCACAACGGCAAACGTTAAAGAGAAGCTGGCAAGGATGGGGAGGAACTGGAGCCGCAGGTGTTGCGGCAGGAAAATAACATGGTAGAGCCACTCTTAAAAGAGTTTGCCAGTATCTTTTAAAAATTTAAAACATGCATTTATCTTACAACCTAGCAACTGCACTCCTGGACATTTATCCCGGAGAAATGAAAACTTATGTCAGTACAAAAAAACTGTACACAAAGGCCCATAATAACTTAGTTTGTAATGGCCCCAACTGGAAACAACTAAAATGACCCTCAATGGGTTAAACAGACCTCTGTACATCCATACCATGGAATATTAATAACACAATGGGATGAGCTAGGGGAGGGGGCGGGAGGTGGGGAGAACAGGTGAGGGAGACCAAGCACACACGTGCCTCGACGAGCTCTGGGTGATGTATGCAAGCGCGGATCACTGCATTGTATTGAACTAACATCACACTGTAGTTAACTATACTGCAATTAAAATAAAATGAAACAAAAATAAACAAATAACAAATAAATATAGAAAATGGGATGAGCTACTAATATAGTGAACAATCTGGAAAAAATTCAAGGGCATTATGCTGAGCGGAGAAAGCCCATCTGAAAACACTATATGATCCCATGTAGGTAACATTCGGAAACACAACAGCGGAGGCAGAAGACAGGCTAGTGGTGGCCAGGGGGTTAGGGAAGGTCAGGGGGAGAAGGTGCACGTGATCACGAGGGACCAGCCAGAGGGACACCTCTGTGGTGACGAAATTATCCATGCCTTGGTTGCACTGGTACCTACGTGGGTCTATCTTTGTGGTGACAAAGTGACACAGAACTACAGACACTCACTGGACCAACACAAAATGCCCACTTTCCTTATCCTACAGTTATGCCACCACTTCCCCCATAAGCCCTGGGAAAGCTGGGTGAGGGTACAGTCTTCTGTACTCTTCTCTGTACTATCTTTGCGACTTCCCATGAATCTATGATTATTTAAAAATAAAAAGTTAAGCATAACATTTTTTTTTAAAGATTTTTATTTATTTACTTGACAGATAGAGATCACAAGTAGGCAGAGAGGCAGGCAGAGAGAGAGAGGAGAAAGCAGGCTCCCCGCGGAGCAGAGAGCCCGATGTGGGGCTCGATCCCAGGACCCTGGGATCATGACCTGAGCCGAAGGCAGAGGCTTTAACCCACTGAGCCACCCAGGTGCCCCAAGCATAACATTTTTAATTATAAAAATGAATTCATCTGTCATATTTTTATCAGTATTTAGGTGAAAGGCACTCATGTCCTCATTATTGGAACAAGGGATTCAGTCAAAGGCTTCTGAGTGAGGTATGTACCACATGACTTTCTTGGCTTCTTGTCTGTATTTCACAGCATGACTATGGGGCGGGGTCACTGTGGACCAGCACCCCAGGGCCCCACACGTCCCTATCCTGGTTGACTTTCTCCTGTGAGCCCCTCATTGGCCCATGGCTGAGGCAGTTCTCATCCTCGCCTGCCTCACTTCATGAGACCCTGCAGCTGGGTTCTGCCACCGATGTTCACCCTCGTGGGGACAGGATGGCCAACCAGCCCACTGACCAACGGCCCAAGGAGATGCTGGAGGCAGGGGGTTTGAGTGGGGATGGGGGCTCTAAACGAACATCTTTTCAGGAGGGAACATTTCTTTTGCTGCCCTGAACTCTGGAGAGCCGGAGTCAAGCAAGCACGGTTGTTTCACCCGGGGATCAGAGCTGGGTGGCAAGTTGCTCCCTGCCTCAGCTCTGCCGTCCATGCAACAGTTGTCAAGGCATGGGCAGCTCCTTCGTTAGAAGCCTCCAGGCTTAGGTCGGGTTTAAAGCTTTCCCTTCGCATCCAGCTGTCTGAAGCCAGAGGCCAAAGAGCAGGCAGGGTCCTCCGTGGCCCAAGTCTGCAGGAAACCCCAGCCCTTTTAATGATGGCTCAAAATGAAAAGCGCCATCAAGAAACAGCCCAGACATGCTGGGGAAGAGGAGAGTCCAGTCTGTTCATATGGCAACACCAAGAGGGAGGGGGAGTTGGCACATTCTGTGCCCACATTAGGCAAGAGACAAATACCTACGGTAGCACCTTCTGGAATCTGAAGCAGGTTCTGCTGGACTTCTTGGCTGGAGAGGGAAAGACCCATGTAATTTTCCAATTCTGCCAGGCTTGGGTACAAAACTGACAGGAAGGGAATGGAAGGGAGAGGAAAGGTGTTATTCAGGGGTGTGACCTTGGCCACACCTGCCTGGCTCCCATGTGCTCACTCATCTGTATCAGGAAACAGGGCCTGGGGGTGTTGTTTACTCCTGAGAATGCAAGGGAACCCTCGCTGGTGATGGGGGTTCTCTCTTCAGAAGGGCTGAGGGGCAGGGGTCTCCCCAGGAGCAGCCTGGTACACAGAATCCCTCCTGTGCCACTTTGGTGTTCAACGCCACAGACTTTATTTGGCACCAGGCAGACATCTGACACCAAGCCCAGGGCCGGTGCTGGGGTCATGAGGCTCTGGCTCCTAGGAAATCCAGGGGCTGGGGAACCGCATGGGCTGTAGGAGGCCGGTGTCTGACCCCAGGGCGGCTCCCAGGAAACTGCATGGCAAGGAGGGAAAGAGTGGGTCTGAGGTCAAGTTAGCTGCCGCAGGACCTGAATCCAGACTGCCACCAGCAACTCGAGGGACCACCACAAACATCTTGGTTTCCTCACTTGGCCTCAGAAGGTAGCTCCAGATCAGGGGACTTAGTGCTCTTACTAAGCCAGTTTTCTCAGGGTGCCTCTCAAAGGGTTCTGCTGAGGGTAAAATGTTCGGGAAGCCCACAGCACAGGGGCAGGCAAGAGACAGTGCTTGGAAGTGGCCACAGGAGGTCACTATCTGTCAGGAGCACCCCACCCCCGCTGGCTCACTCACCTGAAGACTGGGAGACTGGCAGGGCGGGCATCCTGGATGCAGCTCTGGCCTGGGCCTGGGGAGTAGTGGAGTGCTGGTCAGCTGTGCCCAGGACCCCCAGAACCCTTGGAGCCTGGGGCTCCCTGAGGCTGGGAGTCAGGGCCTTAGTTATGCTGGCGGGCCTAAGGTGGGGTATCCATGAACACTGGAGGTGTAAATGTGGTCTCTGTACATGTCCACGTTTCTGGGGAAGGTTCTGCCCATAGCCTACAACCCACCAAATGTCATGACCCACTTACTACCTGAGGCAGCCAGAACACTGAGGCCTACCTCCCAGTGAAATTCTCGGTCAAAAAGTCCCAAATTCTCAAAACCCACTGGAACCACAGATGGATGGAACGAAGAAGGAGCTTCTGGGGATGAGCAGGCCAAAGGCCATGCCCATGGGACTTACTCTGGAAGCCTGTCTACAGTGGAGTCTACCTGCACTGGGATGGAGGAAGCTCTAGGACGCGCGAGAGGCCCGTCTGCAGCTGTTGGGCTTCACCATTCCTGCTCTAACTCCACTGCCTTAGCCTCTGGATGTCTGTCCACCAGCAGGTCCTGCAGGGGTGACCTGCATGCCCAGGGACCCAGCACCCAGCACCTTCCAAGACAAGCCTCCCTTACTTACCCTGGGGCAATCACAAAGGCCCCACGAGGGGACCTAGGCTCACACACGCCTAGTGGCTTACCTGAATAGCTTGGTCCATCTTCAGGTCCTCCAGAGATGGGTACAGGGTGGACATGGCGCCTCCTTGGAACACCTACAAGGCACAGAGGGTGAGGAGGGGTGAGGGGTGAGAGGAAGTGTGGATGTCTCCCTCCCCCCACCATGTGTGCCACTCAGGACTCTCGGGATGAGAGAGAAATCAGGAAGGTATCCTTTGCATTTTGGAGATGGGGGAGTGGAGTTTGAACCCAAGTCTGATTTATTCCCAAGCCCATCATCTCCACCCTTGCAAAATTCCATCCCATCTGTTCAGCTGACTCTGGGCTTTAGACCATGGACCCAGGGGACCACCCAGGACATGCTGGCTGGGAAGAGCAGAGCTAGAGATCAAGTCCTTCTCTGCCATGTTTCAAAGGCCAGATGGAGGGATGCCTGGGTGGCTCAGCTGATTAAGTGTCTGCCTTTGGCTCAGATCATGATCCCAGGGTCCTGGGACTGAGTCCCTCATCAGGCTCCCTGCTCAGCCATGGGGGGTGGGGAGAGGGGTACTGCTTCTCCCTCTGCCTGCTGCTCCCCGTGCTTGTGTTCTCTCTCTCTCTCAAATAAGTAAAATCTTAAAAAATTTTTTCAAAGTTCAAACAGGCTTAAAAGTTCTGGTCACTCAAGACCCAAATCCAGCAGGTTTATAGTGAATATCTGCTGCATACCCGGCCTTTGTTAGGGGTGTGTCCAGCATCATCCCCCAACTACACAGAAGTCAGTCCGGTGTTAAGTAGGTGGGGTCTTCATTACAACAGAGAAGCGGCAGGACATTTAGAACCCCTCCCCCAGCTCCCACACCCCTGTTCACTTCTGGGTATTTGAGCTCCTACTGTATACTGCCCATTTCCAGCCTTGATCTTAACCTAGGCTTCCACTCTTCTTGCAAAGCTCTGGTCTTGTTAAATTCCTTGTCTTAGGTTTTGCATGTAGTCCACTAATTTGAAAGTATGAAGTATTCTGTAAGGTCAAATAAAACCTGTCTGCATTTGGCCTGTGAGCCACCAGTTCCAATCTCTGGAGGAATCAGAAGTCTGTGCGGGCCACTTTAGGGAAAGTGAGCTAGACACTGAGAGCAGAGGGGAGCCCCTGGGGGCTCTAAGGATTGGTAAGACATCGCAGGCTCCTGCAGAAGGGCTTATTGGCTGCCATCTGGAGAACAAGAGAGGAGGCAAGATCCTTTGGAGGATGTTGTAGTGCCTGGGGAGGGGCGGGAAGATGATGGAGGTCTGCACACAGCGTGGGGGCTAGGGGTGGGATGTGAGTGAGGAGGAACTTGATAGCAAGTTAGAAGGAATGGTGTACATGGGTAGAGGGGTGGTATCAAGGCAGCAGATGCAGAGGAAAGAGAAGGAACAATGATGGATAAAGATGACCTTAGCCCCTGTGGGCCACTCAGGGGTGATACCCAGAGGATCTGTACCGGGGCAGGGCTGGAGTCCCATCACCCCTGGTGCAGTCTGGTCAGTTCCCTGTGACCACCCTAGGGACCCCTTTATTGTGTACACCTGCTCTGATGTCCTTCCACCTTCCCAGGATGGAAACAAGGACCAGAGTTCCCAATGTATTTCACTCACCTCTAAGTCTTGTTTTTTGTTTTCTCAAATTTGAATTAGTGCCAGTATTTTAAAGCCTGGGAACAAAAAAAATTCTTCACTTCTAACTTGTATTGAAAAAAAAGTCAAAATATTTGGCACTGCAAGAGCAGGAATCATGCACAGCGACACCCAGTCCAGGCTGAGCTGCAGCCAGTCTCTTCGATGGGGCTGCCTGTGCTTTCCTGGTTCCAAAGTACCTGGCCAGAAATTTACATCACCTGCTTGGCTCCCGGAAGCAGGCAGCTCCAGATCCTTGCCCTAGTCTGGTCTTTGCGGCAGAAATTATCACCTCAAGAGGGCAGAGGTTGTCCCAGGGGGAGAGGGAGACTGGCTCTGACTTCCTTTAGACCAGCAGGGAGAGTAGACCTCTTTCTTTGCCCGTGACTTTCCCCACTGTGCACACATTCTGGGAGATTTTTCTCTTGGGACAGTCCTCAGCAGGTACCAACCGCCAAAAATAATCCTTGTTACGAGGATGATGCATGAGGAGTATATGTGAAAATAAGAGGTCAGCTCTGCCCTGCTTTTTCTACCACTGAAGCAGCACAGCAGTTGTATTTTTAGTGGCTGCCCTCTGGGAGAGCAAAACCAGAGATCCACTTCCTAGAAATCACTCCCAGGCCAGGACCACACAACACTTTCTCTGTATCTGGAAGCTTCACCACCTTCACCTTCTGTGAGTCTCCACTCAGTTTCGGGCTCTGGGTAGCATTAGGAAGTAGGCATTCCCCTGCCTTTTAACATTTATGATTTAGTGGGGAATGGCTCCCAGTTAACAAATATGCTTAGTGCCTCGTTCAATCATCCATCTGTGCACCAAGGACTAGTCACCTGGGCCATCTGCTTCTGGCACACCACCCCTCCCTGTGGGGCACTCTTTGAAGGTTTAGCTCAAATGCTATTTCTTGGGTTGCCTTTTTCAGGCTGTGGGACGCCCCCCCTGCTAGTTGGTTGGGTCTTCTTGCATTCCTAACCCTGACTTGTGCTCTCTACTGTCTAGCTATTTATCATATCACATTATTGACATCTGGGTATTTTGTTATACCGGATCCCTCACCTCACAAGGGCAGGCAGGGGCTGTGTCCCGTTCACCACACTCTACGCCTCCCCACAATGGCAGGCATGCATGGTGGCAAAAAAAAAAAAAAAAGTTGAGTAAATCAGTAGTTTTCCAAGAACAGACTAGAAATTTCTGTGGGTATTTTTGGGTGTCATGAGACTGAGGGGACATCAGTAACATTTAGGAAAGAGCTAACAGAGATCTGGACTTCCTGGAACGTGCAGAGCGGTCACTGCAACAAACTGTCCTCCCAAACCTTCATGTGGGCATAAAGCCTGCTTGTACCGTTTTATATACAACTACAGTACTTCCTGGTTTTAATATGCAGTATGTTATCCAGACATGCAAATACCAGGTTAACCAAGGGAGGTTATGCTTTGTTTTGTTCGCCATTTTGGGAAATCAGTGTCAACACTTCTCACCAGAACACGCCCACGTGTACCTGGCTGTCATACTAATTCCACACCTGTACACAAACACTTGGCCTTTGGAGACGTCAAATACAAACTGTGGCAGAGTTCAGTTGAATACTGTCTTCTCTTAATTCCAAACGTACTCGTTTTGAGTTAGGTACAAACACGATCTGGTGTAATCCTGTTTCGGCTTTTGCAAAGTGAAGAGCGTGTTCTCCTACTATAAATTACTTTCATTGCTAGTGTTTCGCATTAATAATAACGACCCAGCATCAGGCTGGTTTACCCACTGGGAACCACCATTCGGGACAAACTTGCTTTCTCCCTCAGCCTCAACCTTCTCGCTTTGCGCAAGCAGGCACAAAGTCCATGCATGAGGAGCTGAGGAAAGCCCCACGAGTCGATACAGCCTGTTCTTCACCCCAGGCCTCAGTTTCCAAATCCGTCGCACCGCTCAAACTCTCCAAACTTCTCCCACTCTGAGGTACCCTTAGCTCCTAACCCGGCAGGAAGCGACGTCTTCCAGTTGCTCGGGGCTACGACGCCTGCGCAGAGTTTCCACGAGGGCGCTAGGGCGCGCTGCGGCATCTAGAACGCATGCGTCCCACCCACCCAGGCCAGCGCGCCGCTAGCGGTGGCTCCCAGGTTGCCCTGCGGCAGCAGGGTGAAAAATGGCGACTTCTTCGCGGACTGGATTGGTAACTGGATTGCTAGAATCCCCCCGGCCTCTCGCGTTCTCCAGGTGCCCGTGGCTGGCGCCGGCACCCACAAAAAAAAGTCAGGTAAAGCATCAGAGTAAGGGATGGGAAGGCTCGATCGGGCCCCTTGTCCCCTCTTTACCCGACTGGAGGCCGCGCGCAGCAAATCGAGCTTTAAAGGGGCGAGTGTCCCCCCACGTCCCTGACTCCAGAGGACCATTTACGGCTTCCAGAGGAGGGAGGGTGCAGGTGATCCGTTCCCTGAGGGCTGATAAGATTCAGTTTCTAAGGCAGTTGTGGGAGGAAAGGAGAGTATAGACATGCCTGCTCTCCCCGCAGTCTGTTGCTGGAATAGAAGCCCCCTCACCCGCTAAGGCTTAAGCGCTTTCAGTTCCCGAGTATTTCCTGTCCGTTGGGACATCACTGACCCTCCCACCAGGTATTTTTGCCTGGCTCCGACTTCTGACCAGGTGCTTAGCTGCAAGTGCCCCGCCCCCACTCTATGCACGTTCACCCCGGGATCCCACCCAGAGTAGCTGAGTGATTGAGCCCTGCCCCCCAGAGTAGGGGTTTTGTGCTTGGCCAGGCAGATCACTTCCCACATTAGAATCAGACCCACTGCTCTTAAAAGGAATTCAGGCAGTTTGGCTTAGGGGGTGCAGGCTAAAGCAAAAGGCAACAAAAGGCTAAGGCAACCAGGAAAGGCTTTTGTAGGAAGGAGGGGGGGGGTCAAGGAAGTGGGTGCGGAATGTGCTACTGCAGGCATAGGGAGGCCCAGACCCAAGGGTCCAGCTGCCCTCCAGATCTTTACTACCTCCCAGGTTATTCAAACTGAGCTCCTTTTTTCCTAGCATTGCTGCCCCTCTTCATCTGTCCTACCAAGTCCACCTCCTGGTCTGAGCCAGAAATCTGGGAGTTAACCTCAGCTCCTGCTCTTGAAGCCCTACGGAGCTCTTGTTCTCAGGATAAATCTCTAAACTTCAACTTGGCATTCAGATGTCCATGACCTGACTCCTGCTACCATCTGGAGTCACACCTCCTCGCTTTTCCACACTTCATCCTGCATTTCATTCATTCCAGCCTGCCTGCTGACACTAGAACTCACACTCCTAGTTCATGCCTCCCTGCCTTTTCAGGTTCCTGTCCCTCTGTCTTGAATGCCATTCACGTCTTCTCCCTCCCCTTTGTTCATCTGGTGAACTCCTGTTCCTTCAGTTCTAAGCTTTCCCCCCAAATCCCCACACCCACACACACTCATGGAATTAATCAAACCTCCCTTCTCTAGACCCCAGAACTGCATAGTCACCTATTCATCATTCATTCTGCTAATGTTTACTAAGCACCTCTGTGAGCAAGGTCTTCTACATTCTCTAGGATTGGATTTCCTCTGTGCTGTTTTTGTTTGCCTGTTTCCCTCCCCAGTACTGAGCCCAGTGTGGCGCACGGCAGGAATCCAGTTACTCTTTCTTAAAGGAGTGGGAAAGCAAGACACAGAGGGAAGAGAAAGCCCCAAAAAAGTCCTTTGAAGAGAAACTCTGGGCCTAGAAAGGAGGGGAAAAAAAAACCCCACTGCTCTAATGAGGTGGATTAAAAGGCTGTTTCCTACAGTCTGACAATGAAAGAGTTCCTCAGCTCAGTGCTGGCTTCCTGCAATTAATTGGCTCCTGTGAAAGGAAAGTAACCCATCTCTCTCAAAGGAATTTTCCTTTCCCTGCACTTTACAGAATTTCCAACTCTGAACTTCTGTATTTTTTGATAAAAGCAGTAATGCCACCCACAACAATCCAGCACTCGGGTCCTTGGAGATCAGCAGGGCTGAAAGGGGTCGTCCGCTCCCACCTTTGGGTTTTGGAATGAGAACACTCTCTTGGAACACCTTGTTCCAAAGAGCTGAAACTATGGGACTCCTACTTGTTCCTGTGGACAACTCATCCATCCTTCAGAAGACAGTGTGTGCGGGAGGGAAGCGTGGGTTAGAGTGTCAGAGGAATAGCTCCTGGAAGGCCAGATTAGCCCAGGGATGTGGTGAGTTAGAAAGGAAGAGGCTGTTGCTAGGCAACCAGCATGTACCCGCCCCCCTCCTCCTCCTCAGGGCTGTACTGCCTGCTGGAGGAAAGCTGTGAACATCTTCAGGGGATGCAGATGCTCCCCAGTACAGGGCCCTAAGAGGCAAAGCAGGAGCAAGACCTGGGAGGCAGGCAGGACTGGGTTCAGGCTGCTGCTTCTAATTTGTGAGAGCAAGCATGGACAAGTCCCTTTTGGGTGTCATATCTCCCTTTGTGATATGGGTAACAGTACTTGTATCACAGTTATTGTGAAGATTTAAAGATCCTTAAAAAGAGAGAAGATAAATATGGAAGGCACTTAGCACAGTACCAAGCACATAAAGGGTGTGTGGTCATCGTTAGTTGTTCATTCAGGACATTTACTGAACACCTAAGTCCTTGTGCTGTTCTAGGTACTGAGGCAGTGAGCAAGAGGAAAATCCGTCCTTGAGGGTTTCTTCCTAGCTGGACAGAGAGGTGTGTCACACTTGTCACAAGTCGCAGAGAGAAAGATAAAGCAAGATGGAAGGTAGAGTGTCCAGACGTCTGCAAGGGCCTCACTGCGGGTCGGGAGTGACAAGGGACTTGTGTAAAAGCCTAGAGGGGTAGGGCAGAGCATCAAAGCTGAGGGCATGGCCACTGCGGCGGCCCTGAGTTGGGGGTGCCTCTTGTTCAGAGACCATTTGGCTGGTGAGACTGGAGTCTCGTTCAGAGGGGGACCAGTGGCGAGGAAGTAGGAGAGGATGAGAGTGGGCCAGGTCCCCAGGGGGCCGTGGCCAGCATTTGGCATTTACTCTGCTGAGAGGGGAGCCCCTGGAGAACATTGAGCCGCAGAGTGACCTGATCCAACTTACATTTTAACAGGTTCCCTTTGGCTAACATTGGGAAAACAGACCAGCAGGGCAAGGGTGGACACAGGGAGCCCCAGGGAGTAGTGATGGTGGTGTGAGAATTGTTAGTAGTTTGGAAATCAAGACTGTAAAACAAAGAAAAACTCTAAAAACACAAACAGTTGTTTCCGTTAGTTTCAACTGCCCTGTGCAACGACCCAGTGCGTCTCCCCCGCGCACAGCAGCCTTGTCTGAAGCACCATTTCCTGAGGCCCCGTGGTGTGCGGGGCACAGACTGTCCCCCTTAGTTCCATTAGTTTGTCCAGTACCCCTGAATGTGTGGGGATGTGTCCAGTGTCCACACAAGGAAACCAGTTCTGAGTGAGGCCAAGCCACTGGCCCCGTTCCCCAGCAGATTTCTTCCCGCCTACTTAGGGAGTGGGTAGAAACAGTTGCAGGCAGAGATATAAGTAGTAGAAACTGAGGCATATACTCTCTGCTCCCTGTGGAAGTCCACTCTGCCTGGCCTTCCAAAGGCCCCCCCGTCAATGAGCAGGATGTGGGCCGCATGTCCCGAGCCCTATCACAGCAGGTCACAAGGAGCCTGCAGCCCCCATGATATCTGGATAAAGATCACTCAGCCCTCAAACCTGACCCAGGGCAGGCGTCAGAGAAGGAGAACCCTGTCCACACTGTTCCCCCCAGACGGAGGCACCTTGAAAGAAAACGGCCTGGGAGCCTCCAGAGGGGTCAGGACCAGCCAATCGGCATAAGAACAAACCTCACAGACCTCAGTCGTGGTCAGTACGGGCCCCAGCTCTTACCTGCCACCTGGGTGCTGCCTGGCGTCCTTTGTCAGTCACTGCCAAGAGTCTGTTCCCCTCTCTGGGAGCGGGTGGCCCTTGTCCCAGCCAGGTTCCTGCTCTGGGAAGGGTGGTCCCCACCCCCCAGTCAGCTGACTCATTCGGATGGACCTAGGTAAAGGCCCTGTGCGTGTATAAACAAAGCAAGTCACCGGGCCCAGAGGAGGGTTCAGGCCTTAGTCAAGATGTGGAGGTGGGGTTAGGGGCCCGCTGCCGCTGGTGGGAGGGGTAGGAACCAAGACTTCTTGACCTTGAGGAAGTCAGAATTGGATTGGACATCAGTCCCGCTGAACATGAGGACAGTTTGAGGGGGCATCCAGGACCTTAAAAAAATGGCCATAACTTGTGACCCAGCATTTCCCCCCTTTTATTTTTTTAATATGGAATGCCTCACGAATTCACATGTCATCTTTGTGCAGCGGCATTCTCCTCATAATTTATTCCAGTAAACAAGTAGGCATTGAGGTCCTGGAGCCCATCACCGTGTTGCTTATAATAAGGAAATCTAGAAATCCCCAAGCCCGTCACTGGGGTCTGGCTAAACAAATCCTTACGTGTGGAAGATCAGAAAGCTATTCATGTCATTTAAGGAAGAACCATGAGGAAAGGTTCCCAAAACAGTGAGCAAGATACTGAAAAGTCAGTATTGTGATTCTGCTCTTCTGTTTGGTTTTCATCTTTTGAAAAGTGGATATGTGTTGCAACCAGTCTGGGAGGATGTATACTGAAGTGTTGGAAGTCTGGGGGCACCTGGTGGCTCAGTTGGCTAAGTGTCCGACTTGGTTTCTTCCCAGGTTGT